ACCAGGCTAACCCATCCTCCCACCCCCCTCCCCTCTAGAACCCTCAGTTTGTTTTTCAGAGTCCATCGTCTCTCATGGTTCGTCTCCCCCTCCGATTTCCCCCCCTTCATTCTTCCCCTCCTGCTATCTTCTTTTTTTTTTTCTTAACATATATTGCATTATTTGTTTCAGAGGTACAGATCTATGATTCAACAGTCTTGCACAATTCACAGCGCTCAATTGGTATCTATTTAAATTTATGATCTAAAGATTTCTTTTTAAAAGAATTTATATCATGGTGATTATAGTTAATAATGCTGTATTGTATATTTGAAAGTTGCTAAGAGAGTAAATCTGGAAAGTTTTCATCACCAGACAAAGATTTGTAACTATATATGATGACAGATGTTAACTAGATTTATCATGGTGACCATTTTGCAATATATATAAATATCAAATCATTATATTGTACACCTGAAACTGATATAATGTTGTATATCAATTATAACTCAAAAAAATTTACTTAGTAAAGAAAATTGGCTTACACAAAATTGTAAAGTTATTATATAGGTGATATGAGAATATAGCATGAGTCATGAAAGCATAGGGAAGGAGTGACTAAGGTATGTCGAGATATAATGATATGGCATTCCATTACTCAGTGCCTACATTTGAGACCGGGTTCAAACACAGTGCTGTTGAGGTAGGTTTTTAACTCAAAGATTTTTTATTTTCCTCTCTGTAGTGGAGCACATGATCCAGAAGAACCAGTGTCTCTTTACCAATACCCAGTGTAAGGTTTGCTGCGCCTTGCTCATTTCTGAGTCCCAGAAGCTGGCACACTACCAGGTATGCCATTGTACCTTTAGAAATACTTTACTTTCCAAAAATAAAAAAAAAAGAAATACTTTATTTTCCACACTCAGTGCCAAGCCTTCACTTCTCCCTGGCTTGCACAATGAAGTGTATGTAATTCCTTCCTAGCCACCCAGACATTGCCTCCATGCATGTTGACTGTGATTTGAAGGTTGACTTAATTTTTCTGTGTCTCATTTCTCCCATCCAAATCAGGATCATCATACTTAAATCTTCCCTCTCAGTGTGGTATAGTAGAAAGTATGCATTTTGGCTTTAAATAGACCTGAGTTAGAATCACAGCTCTGCTGCTCATCTTGGGCAAGACACCTCACCATCTTCAGTCTTAGTTTCCTTATCTGTAAGATAGAGATGATGGTAATTTAGATTGCTGTGAAGGTTAGACTTGATAGCATGTAAAGTGCCTTGAACAGAGTAGGAGCTCAATAAACTAGGTTTCTTCCCCTACCTTCTCCTCCTCAAAAGTTTTTGTGAGGATGGATCAGATGAAAATCTAGTATTTTTGAGTGCCTTAGATATGAAATGGCATTTGGCTATTTTTGATCTTTTTCCTGGGTTCTTGCAGAGCAAAAAACATGCCAACAAAGTGAAGAGATACCTAGCAATCCATGGAATGGAGACATTAAAAGGGGAAACGAAGAAGCTAGACTCAGATCAGGTAATCCAGCTGCCATGTTGAGACTGCTCACTTTCTGATGAAGCCAACAGGCAGGTTGGTGTGGTGGAAAGAAGGTGGGCTTTGAGTCAGACTGAATTGGCTTCAAATCCTGGCCATGTTGTGTGACTTGGAAAAGTCTTGTTACTTCTCTAAGCCTTGATATCGTCCTCCCTAAAAATGAGAATGCTAATATCAACTATATTTTAGGATTTTTCCAAACCAAAATGAGGGAAGGTTTATAAAAAGCAGCAAACACAGAGCCTGGCACATAGTAGGGCTCAGTAAATCAAGCCATTGTTATGCATTACCACCCAGTGGTTTATTGGAGCAGGACAAGAAGCTTCCCCTTCACTACTTAAGGAGAAAAAAGGGAAAGAAACCAGGCTGCTTGCTTTCTTGAAATGGGAGGGAAAGAGCTGAGTTCAGCACTTGAATGTTTTGAATAAACAAGTAGAAAAAACACCTTTCCAAATGCCTGTTCCAATTGAGGTGTAAATGCACTTGCTTTTTGGCTTAGAAATACTGTGAGAATTATGCTGAAACAGTCCTAGTCCCTCAGGGGTACCATTATTTTTGTTCCATGGGAGGTTGTTCAAATGTCATGGGATGAGAAGTCCACTGATGAGGGCCCAATACCAGCTCTGCAACTTACTGGTTTGGTGACTTTGGGCAAATCACTTCACCTCTCTACCCATAAAATGGAGATAATAATTCCTACCTTTTAAGGGTATTGTGAGGTATAATTCCAATTCCTGGTGGATGTTCAGTGACTGAAAATTTACAGATTGCTTCCTATTATATATAGGGGTCACAGGTTTGGAAGGGCCTTACTCATCCTTCTCCAAAGTCACTGGACCCATCCCCTAGTTGCCCTTCTGCTTATGATTTAGAATTCAGAAAGACAAGACCAACTGTATGACTCTGGACACGTCACTTCACCTCTTTGTATCTTGATTATTTCAACCCTCGGGGTGGTCCAGTAGTTCAAATGAAGTGACATTCCCCTTCCTCTACAACAAAGAATTATCTAGTCCAAAATGTCAATAGTGCCAAAATTGTAAAATGCTCTTGTAACGAATACTATTCACAGATCAGACCTCAGAGAGCTGGGAGCTCTTAACATAGGCTTGAAATACATTGTTTTCTGGCCTAATCACAATCAACAAATAAAACCCAAATATCTGCTTGTTCAGCAAACCCTGAATATCTGCTGTGTGCCAGACTCCAGCAGGGTGCTAAGGATGGGAAACAAAGATGAGTCCAGTGGTCCATGCCCAAAGTCGTCCTAAGCTGTGACACTGTCAGTTTGGATGACAAGTGGTATGATAGAGGTCTGTTTAATGCACTCTGGGCATGCAGAGATGGAAGACGATTAACTTTTTCTGAATACCCACACAAAGCAGCTCAATAATTGTGTACTGAATGATTTTCTTGCGTAATAATCTCCCAGAAGTGACATGTGTGTGTGTGTATATATATATATGGGCCTTGGGCCTTGGACCTTGAAGGCTAAGCAGATACACGCCAGGCAGGAAAAGAGGAAGATCATTCTAGGTAGCAGGAATGGCCCAAGCAAAGCAAGGAAGCAACAGAGAATAAAGTGGGGAATGGTGAGTAGAGCCTGAAATGAAGTAGCTGGAGAAAGATCCAGAAAGGTAGGTTGGGGTTAGTGTGTGAAGGGGGCCTTGAATTCCCATTCTTCTATGGGCAATGGGGAACCATTGAAGATTTTCTGGCTGGGCAGTGGCGTGATCAGACCTGTGTTCTTTCTCCCAACCAGAAGAGCAGCAGAAGCAAAGACAAGAACCAGTGCTGCCCCATCTGTAACATGACCTTTTCCTCCCCTGTCGTGGCCCAGTCGCACTACCTGGGGAAGACCCACGCAAAGAACTTAAAGCTGAAGCAGCAATCCACTAAGGTGGAAGGTACTGGTTTTCCTGAGTAGTGCTATATCGGTACCCCTCCCATCCTCAGGGCACCAATGCCAGGTGCTCCCAGAAATGCTCACTGGGGCCACAGACTTGGAGAGGTTGAACTACTTTTGAGAACCCTTAAAAATATCAAAGTAGACCCAGCTTCAGTGAAATGCAGCCTCAGAGTTGTGCTCACCTACCTTCCCTTTCTTTGGTTACATCAGTTTTTCTCTGTAGAAGCATCTTAGCCCTGAGCTTTTGTCCTGACAAATAATTATAATTAGGAGTGCCAAAGTCCTCTAGGCCGTGCATACCATGAGAGCATTCTATCTCCTACCTCTCCCACTTAGGTTTTTCCCTCCCAGCCTCCACCTGCCCTTATTACCATGTGTTCCAAGTTGAAAGCTAAATCCTTGTCTTTTTCGTGTGCTCAGGTTATGCCCTGCTCACTTTAATCCTCAAAGCTGCCTGTTCTCCTCAAGACAGGGACTTGCTTTTCAAAGCGGGATACTCTAGTGCTGCCACTGGTGCCCAGCAAGCCATGTTTGCAACTGTCATGAATTCATATCCAGTGCAGTGACTTCTAAAATAGTCCCCTTTATCTTGTCACCACTGGTACTCAAACCCCACTCTCATCTCATTAACTCCTGACTTTCTGGGAATTTTTAACCTGTGCTAACTGCAGTCAGCCAAGAATGAAAGTTCTTTGATTTTTATTTCATTTTTTTCTTGGTAATTTTTGCTTCTTTATTTATTTTGGACCAAGAAGTAAACTGACTGTACTATTTATAACACTTATTATTCTTTTTTTATAATACTGTATTATGAAAACAAGACAACAGTGTTTTGGAAGACTTTGAAGATAAGGTGAAAAATCACTCATAATTATACCCTCTTAAACACACCCAAATCTAGTTCATGCTATGAAACAACAGAATATGGACTTTGAGGTCACAGATATGCAGGTTTAAATCCTGATGCTGCTATTTACCATCTATATGGCTTAACTTCTTTGAACCTGAGTTTCCTCACCTATAAAATGTTAATAATACTATCTACTTTATGGGTTATGAGGATGAAATAATGTATATAAGGAACCTAGGACTTAATAGATGCTCAGTAAATGACAGCTGCTGCTGTTAGTATTATCACCATCATCGAGATAGCCAGCATAAGTGGAATCCCCTTATGAAATGTAGTATTTGCTCAGGCATCCACCACCTGGAGCATGTCATTGGCCTCGCTTATGGTTTGTTCATCATTAAGTTATACTAGTACTAATGGCTTTTGTTTAAACTTGGTGTTGGGGGTGCCTGGCTGGCTCAGTCAGTGCAGCATGTGACTCTTGATCTTGGGGTCGTGAGTTCAAGCCCCACGTTATATGTAGAGATTGCTAAAAAAAAAAAACAAACGTAAACTTAAAAAAAAATAAAGTCGATGTTGGAACCATGAATGGTACCAAAGAGATTAAAACATTAGGCCAAGGGAAACTACCTTAAGAACAGAACTTTATAAGGTCATTTATCTTTATATGGATTGATCTTTTCCATAAATGGGAAAATTTCCTGGAATATGCCAGGTCCCAAAGATTCCATACAAAGAGATTATTTTCCATATTCATTTTTAGACTTTGCCACATACAGATAAGTTTTGATATAGTTGTAATCAAAGTGCATCTACCATTTGTATCCTGCTTTTACTTTTCACAGAATTTTGTAGTTGAAGCACATTTCCATGTTATTATGTGAGTGTAGAACTCTATTTCTGAAATTAAACATTTTTCTAATGTAAAAGTAATAGAAGCATGTTGTAGAAAATATGGAAAATATAGGTATATGAAAAGAAAACGTACCTATAATTTTACCACTCAGAGATAACCACTGTTAACATTTTGGAGTACTGTTTCTCCTATAATGTTCTGTTATGTGTATGTGTGTGTATCTGTGTGTATAGTTGTTTTATGTATATCCAGATTAAATCCATATATATATGTCCATATAAACATAGAATACTTTAAATAGCCTTATCGTGTTTATAAAAATGATACTATGCATACTCGCTATGAGTAATTCTAGCGCAAACAATGCAAAAAGTACAAAGAAGAAAGTAAAATATCCCCCAAATCCTACCACCAAAAGAGAAACACTATTAATATATTGGTGACATTTTCAGAATACCAGTAACACATAAAGACGGTGCATATATCTTTTAACAATGGTAAGATCATATTGTGTGTAAAATTTTCTACACTTTGTTTAATGTAACATTTGTATATTCCCATGTTATTAAAAACATTTTTATAGACATTTTAATGACTATATAATAGCCCATCATACCATATTTAACCATTCCTTTAATGTTGAACATTTCCCCCTTCCCCTTTTTTGATATTTATAAATAACAGTACAGCAAACACCCCTGTAGAATACTCTTTACATACTTCCAGCTGTTTCCTGAGAGAAGACCCCCATAGTTGTTACTTTTTGGATGTCCATAAAGCGGTTCCTCCAACTTTACTTAACCATTTACCTCTGATGTTTCTCTTCAGTATCTTTTAAAGAATGACCTTTTTATGTCTTAACAACCATTATTGTCTCTCCTTTCTGATGTGAAAAATCTATATTCATTGTAGAAAAGTTGGAAAATACTGAAACGCACCCTTTTACTCTATGCCTTTGGCCTTTTTTCCATGCATCACCGGTATGTTTTTTCATTTGTTTATTTTACAAAATTGAGGACATAAATAGATTGCTGTATAACCTGCTTTTTTTTTTTTAACATAACACCACATACTGAATATTTTCTCCTGTGTTAAGTATTCTACAACATGTGCATTACTTTTCAAGTGACTTGCTGAAACAATGGACAGGGAAAGTTAGTGGTCAGGGAAATTGAGATTCCTATGCTGGAAAATCATTGTGAGAAAAGCCAGCAAGTTTCCTCTGGCTTGCTAAAAATCCTCGAAACTTCCCCCATTGAAGTGGTCCAGGTATGAACAAGCATCTGAGCCATCAATCTGAGTGCTGCTGAGCCCCACTTCTCTTCCACCATTGGTGGGGGTTCTAGGCCACATTTTTAAAGCAGTGGTTACTAGGTTGACACCATTCTAGCCACGTGGACTCATTAGTGAGTCTTGGCATCCACTTCATAAAGCAGCAGTCTGGCCTGCCATCAGGATCAGGATATATGTTGACCCACAGGAGGCTTATGCATATGCCTATAACAGATTCTGACTAACTGAATTCATTGACCAAAGCCAGGGATGTTTTCTGAAGGTGAAAGCATGATCTGTAGCCCTCAGGTTACCCTACCACATTCTGGCAGCCTGGCATAGCAAAGACAGCATAGTCTTTAGGGTCACACAGACAGGTTCACTCGCTAGCAAGGTGATCTTGGATAAGTCACTTTACCCATCTGAACCTTGTTTTTTCTCTATAATGTGGCAAAATGATATCTATCTCATGGGGATAGTTCTGAGGACCAAAGGAGGAAATAATATATACAAAGCATGTAATTAAATGTCAGTGTCATCCCCTCTCTCCCCTACTCAGCCTAGAAGGCAGTGTAACCCAAAAGGCCTCCCTAGTATGGTTGCCTTTTCTAAATGACCCTCCAGGTCCTCAGGCCCTCAGTTGCTACATCTGTGCATTGGCTCCCAGCTCTGTAACTAGGGCACTTTGGGGGTGGGACTAAAACACCCAAATTTCTTGTCCCACTTGCTGTGAAGTTCTCAGGAATTCTGAGGGATAAAAAGACTACAAACATGTACATTTCTAGTCTGTTGTAACTGGGCAACTTGATAGCAGAAGCCTCCTCAGAATATGAAATAATCAGGATTCATGTACCTGAAGTAGTGAAAGCTGCTGATCAAGTAGCTGGTCTTTGAGCTCCCCCAAATCTTCCCAATTTTCCCAATTAGAGAAGGCTTTCCCTGTGTGAGTCATACAGGCAGTGCCACATCTGCAAGTGTGTTTAGTGACCCAGCCTTTCTTTCCATTCAGCAGACTAGAAAGCTTGGCACCTTCTGGGTCTTTTCATTGTTTCTGTTTGAACTCTCTCACCGCAGCTCTGTCGAAACGCCTTACAAACCCTTTCCTTGTGGCCTCCACCTTAGCCTTGCACCAGAATAGAGAGATGATAGACCCAGACAAGTTCTGCAGCCTCTGCCATGCGACTTTCAACGACCCTGTCATGGCTCAACAACATTATGTGGGCAAGAAACACAGGAAACAGGAAACCAAGCTCAAACTCATGGCACACTATGGGCGGCTGGCAGACCCTGCTGTCACTGACTCATCAGGTAAGAGGGCCCAGCTCACACCCAGAGCTGGATCAGGGCCTGACCACTGGAGTTCCCCAGACTACCAGAGCTATGCCTTTTCTTCCTTACATCTCCTAAAGCAGGCGTTGCAAACTCAGATGCCTGCAGAAACCAGACAGGAAATTTAAATAAGTGAAAGAGCCAAGAGGGGATTTGATCAGCTGAAGAATATATGCCTCTCCTAGGCAGCTCCAGCTAGTTACTACCATTATCTTCCATTTTTCAAAAGACTCTAGAAAGTCAGATTTCTTTAAGAATTCCCCTCATTTTTAGGGGCACCAGGCTGGCTCAGTCAGTAGACCATATGACTCTTGGTCTTGGGGTTCTGAGTTCAAGCCCCATGTTAGGTGTAGAAATTACTTAAAGATAAAATCTTAAAAAAAAACAAAACCCTCAGTTTTAAATGTGCTACCAAATTTAAAAATGTTAAACCCTGGGTGAGTCAAACCTGTCTGCAAGCCAGATTTGGGCCAAGGGCCACCAGTTTGCAACCTCTGATTTAAGCTCCCTGTCATCCACATTCCTGTGTGAAGACCTCAGTAGCCTCTGTCAGATTTTAGAGTGTCTTCGGGGCCCCTCATCTCTCAGCAGCTCAGGCCTGCCTATATCCTTGGGATAGTGTGAAAGACACCACTCTGACTCAGAGAACATTAGTTTTTCCCTGACTTCAAGATGCCAGTCAGCATCACAGGAGTAAGCATTCATGAAGAGTTAAGAGCCCTTCCCAATCACAGTAACTATTTAGGGCTTATAATAAGAGTGGGGGAGGGGAAGATTATTATTTTATCTTTCATTCAGTCAGTAAATGTTTACTGAGCGCCTACTGTGTTCCCTCATTGAGGGAACAGTCCCTGTCTCCTGGAGCCTACATGAGCATGCAGTGGGTCCTCAGGGTTTCCACCCAGGCCATGGAGATGCAGCACCAGACAGTCAACCCTTGAGGCCCCCATGGCATCCAAGTACAAACAACTTGGCCTCAGGGAACCTGTTGCTCAGAGTCATCTGTGCTCTTGCCACAGTCCTGGAAAGGTGAACACCCAGATGTTGTAGATGTTCCAGACCACAGATGAGCAAGGGGAGAGATCATGCGTCTCTAACAACCCCCAAACCCAAAGCAGCCATAAAACACAGGTCGTCACTGAGCAGTACTGACAAGATGAGATGGGCATGAAACAATGGCTTCAGCAGGGTGCTAAGGAGTGTTCTTCAGTGCCACTGAAGGACCTTGCTTTATAAACCTCTTCAAAATTGGGTATTTACAGGGCGCCGGGGTGGCTCAGTTGGTTAAGCGTCTGCTTCGGCTCAGGTCATGATCCCAGGGTCCTGGGATCGAGTCCCACGTCAGAAGAGAAGCCCGCTTCTCCCTCTGCCTGCCACTCCCCCTGCTTGTGCGCTCGCTCGCTCTCTCTCTGTCAAATAAATAAAATCTTTAAAAAAGAAAAAACAGAAAATTGGGTATTTACGTAGTGTTCCCACATACAAGTAGTGCCTTCCCCTTTAACAGGATCAGGCCCATATGCTGAGGAATCTGGAAACTTCAGAACCAAGCTCCTCAGAACCCTTCTTCTATGACACCCTCCTATTTTGGCCTGAGACTGATAGAGACAACATAGCATCCAGCCGGCATGACCCAGGGTTCTCTTGCAGCTGACACTTCTTTGCTCCAGCTCCTGGCCCTCCTTTATTTGGCCCTGCCCTGGTCATTTTCTCATTATCTCTGTCCACTGCCGGGACTTAGACACTGCCGTATTTTAGGCTGCTTATCTTAACTTGTATCCATTCTATTATCTTAAGCCAAAGTCTCCTTCCTATATCTACTCCTCCATTTGTCTAAGACTAATTACCATACTTAATCCTAGAACTGTATCCTAGGTCCTTTCTTCTTGCTTAAGGCATCTGACTGCTTTACAGACCAGCCAAAATTTTTCATGAAAACTTAGGCAGGGGGCAGGGGTATCACACCCCCTTTGATATTAACATATATATTATAATTTAATTCCCTCAGCATTCCTAAAAATAGGTACGATTTTTTCCATTTCACAAAGAAGTTGAGACTCAGAGTGACTTGCCTAAGGTCAGACAGCTGATAGGACCTGATGTTGTTAAGTGACAGTATCAGTATGTGTCTCTGGCTCTGTCTGGTTCCAAAACTTACACTCCTTCCTCCTGCCTCCAGCTCTGAGTATAATTGACAGGAGGCTTTCCAACTACAGGACATCAGTAGAGGCACTGAACGCACTCGGACCCCCTTCTTACCCACAGAGTGGGATGCTGATCTAGGATATGCAAAGCAGTGACTTGAGCTGACAGGGACTCCGCCTTAGTAAAGGTTTTAGGTTTGTTAGCACCTTGACTTTTCCCTGCTGGCCTCTGCCAAAACTTGTTTGTTCCTTCTATCAGTCAGTCATCCTATACTTACCTGCGGCGGCTGCAGTCCAGACTTAAGCTAGATGCTCTCACATGTAATTACCTGATTTAATCCTCACAGCAGCTCTGTTGTGCAAGTTTGATTATCCCCATTTTACAAATGAGGTCATTAGGATCAGAAAGATGAGGTGATTTGTCCTGAGTCCCACCCTAGGCAGCAGCAGGCAGAGCCAGCATTGAAACTCAGGTCAAGTTCTATATTGGGTCCAGAGAATAGTTTCTATGGGACTCTTGTCAAAGTGTCTCCTGACAAGTATGGGTCAAATGTGAGATGACCCAGAGTGTCCAGATCTCTCCCCCAAGCAGAAGCTGCAGCATCCACCAAGCAGAGCAAAGACTTTGAGTTTGCTTTGTAATTAAGGCTCATATGTCTCTTGTTTATCCAGGAATACCATAACTAAAGCCTGCATTTCAGGCAGTCAAATCCTTCCAAATGCCAGAGCATTCAACATCCCGAGGTTACTGGGATCCTCCTCTGCTTTACCCCATCACTTTCTCTTCCTACTTAGGGCCTTTCCTCCTACATAGAACAGGTCTGCTTTCTCTGCCCCATACTGATCCCTCCGGTTTCTTCAACTACTACATAGGACAGGTTTTCAGGTCTTGTTAAATTCATATATAGCCAAGAAATATTTGTTAGGTTCTTTCCTAATATATGCCAGGCATTGTATATATGGTAGTGAACAGGACAGGTATTGCACATGTTCTTATAGAGCTTAGAGGTTAGCAGAGAAGGTAGGCATTGAGCAAATAACTAAACAAATGGGGCACCTGTCTGGCTTAGTCAGGAGAGTGTGCAACTCTTTTCTTTTTTTTTTTTAAGATTTTATTTATTTATTTGTCAGAGACAGAGAACACAAGCAGGGGGAGCGGCAGGCAGAGGGAGAAGCAGGCTCCCCTCCGAGCAGGGAGCGTGATGCGGGACTTAGTCCCAGGACGCTGGGATCATGACCCGAGCCAAAGGCAGACACTTAACTGACAGTCACCCAGGCATCCCGAGTGTACAACTATTGATCTCAGGGTTGTAAGTTTGAGCCCCATGTTGGGTATAGAGATTACTTAAAAATAAAATATTAAAGAAAAAGAAATTGGGGCACCTGGGTGGAGCAGTCGGTTAAGCGTCTGACTCTTGGTTTCGGCTAAGGTCATGATCTCAGGGTTGTGAGATCGAGCCCAGCACTGGGCTCTGCACTCGGCTTGGATTCTGCTTAAGATTCTCTCTACCCCTCCCCCCTTCTCTTGCTCTCTCTCTTTCTCTCAAATAAATAAATAAATCTTTTAAAAAGTAGGGGGGCACCTAGGTAGCTCAATCGGTTGAGCACCCAGCTCTTGATTTTGGCTCAGGTCATGATCTCAGAGTCCTGGGATCGAGCCCCACATCTGGCTCCGTGGGGAATCTGCTTGGGATTCTCTCCCTCCCTCTCCCTCAGCCCCAACCCCCCCCCACTTGTGCACATGTGTGCGCTCTCTTTCTTCAAAAAAAAAAGGAAACAAAATGGGATAACTTAAGATGGGGGAGCAGGGATCAAGGAAGGCTTCCCAGAGCGTAAGGAGAAAATAGTGTTGGGCAAAACGATCCTGGGAAGATGAGCAAGCATCCAGTCATGGTGGTGGTGATCATGTTTAGGCTTTGGGCCTTTATCCTAAGAGCATTGGGAAGCCACTGACAGTTTAAGCATTATTAGATCATTCTGCTTACAAAGTGGAGAATGTTTTGGAACAGGGAGGAAGGAGAGTATGGAGACCCCAGCAGTGAGGATATTGTAGTAATTCATACTGGAGAAGATGGGAGCTTGGACTAAGGTAGCAGTGGAGAAGGTAGACAGAAGTAGATGGATTCAAGAGCTATTTGGAAGTAAAACTGCCAGGATTTGGCTGTCAAATGTGGGAGGCAAGGGGCGCCTGGCTGGCTCAGTCAGTAGGGCGTGCAGTTCTTGATCTTGGAGTTGTGAGTTCAAGCCCCATGTTGGGTGTAAGAGATTACATAAAAAAAAAATCTTTACCAAAAAAAATGTGGGAGGTGAAGGAAAGGGAATAGTCAAGAATGGTGACCAGGTTTAGTCTTAAGCTATTAGGTGGATAGCCAGGTTTCATCAGCTTAAGTTTAAGATGCCCATGAGATATCCAAGTAGACAGTTGGATATACAGCTCTAAACCTCAAAGGAAATGTCTGGGTTAGAGATACTGCCATTTGGTAGGTCAGTAGCTGTTAAATATTGGTAGTTTCATATGTTTTAGGTGGTAATTAAAGTCAGGGGAATGAATCAGACCCCGTAGAGAGTTTAGAGAGAGAAGAGCTGAGGGTTTGAAATAAAGGCTTCTGGAAATTCTGTCCATTAATGTCTAAAAAGGACCTGAATTCTGATTGCAATAATTTTCCCCTTAAATTCTTTTAAGGGATGTGTCTTCCAGGAAATACCTGAAGATACAAAGGAAACAAATGTAGCTGGGAACATTGGCTAGTTTATTGGAGTAGAGGCGATCATTGGTGTTCACAGTAGCTACAGCTGCCATAGTAAAAGGCTGGTTAAAAGATACTCCACCTCTTTACCAGACTGACACGCTGAACCCATAAGAGTAAAATAATACTAGTGATGAAAGCTCACATTTGTTGAGCACTTACTGTGTGTCAAATGCTTTTACTTAAATCATTACAATAACCTTATGAGGTTGATACTAATATTAACCTCATTTTATAGGTAAGGAACCTGAGTCTCAGAGAAGCCCCACTTTTACAAATGAGGAAACCAAATCTCAGAGAGGTTAAGTAACTGGCCTGTGGTCCTACAGGTAAGAAATGATAGAGCTGGGATTTGAGCCTAGGTGATCTCACTCCGGAGTTGTGAAACTTTAGGATGGCAGATGATTGGAAAAGCGTCAGAACCAGAGGGCTCTTGAAGTTATGTGTACAGCTAATATCTGGCATGCTAGAATAAGTACAACATTTGTGGCCAGCCAAGCCTGAGTTTGCCACTTCCTAACTCTGTGTTCTTACACATGTGACTGTGCCTTATTTTCCTCACCTATAAAATAATGGTAATGATTCTCACAGGATCATTATGAGGGCCAGACAAAATTATTTAGTGTGCATGGCCTATATTAGGTACTTGGTTAAATGCTGCTTTTTATTTTAAGTATTATGGTTATAAGTTATGGTGTAATTGGCTTATAGTTGAGAAAAGCTGAGGATCAGAAAGTGGAAGGGATTTAGCCAAGATCACGTGAAGGCAGAGCCAGGAGTCCAGCTCCATATCTTGGCTTCTGACCCAAGCTCTCTACTAGACCATGTGGACAAAGACCACTTTGTCATTGGATCAACCATGGTAGTGAGACTGGGTGTCTGTGGGCCCCAAGGTAGAAAGACAGATTAATTTTCATAGCAGGCATTCTCATTAATTACTATTATTGCAAGCCCAAGGAGAGTGACAGTTTCCCAGAGATCTCTCAGTGAAGGGCATTATTAATGAGGCCACTTAGCACAGTTAGAAGGTAGAAAAGACAGTTAGACCAAATGTCACCTCTTTGTTCTGTCAGTCTTTTATTTACTCAACAGACAGCTACTCTGGACCAGGTTCAATGCTGGGGATGCTGCAGGGCATGAGGAGGTTCCCAACCCCAGGAAGTACATAGGCACATAGCCTCTGTCACCATGAGCAATGAGGCCTCTGGGATTCTCATCAGGGCCAACCACCTAACCTCACCCCACCATCTGTCATCCTCAGAAGGGCATTTACTGTCAAAAGCAGCAGTCCCCGGGTCCCATTTTATTGGATAACTAAGCATCTTGATTTTTATGTGTGTTTCAGCTGGGAAGGGCTACCCCTGCAAGACGTGTAAGATAGTACTGAACTCCATAGAACAGTATCAAGCTCATGTCAGCGGCTTCAAACACAAGAACCAGTGAGTAATCGTCCTTTGAAATTCAAGGGTCTGCAACAAGAACTCAGGGCTTCTAAATAAAAACAAAGCCAAGTATTGCTTTGCTAAAATGGAATCCTGGCAGCCTTTTCTCAGTCAACAGAAGATCAATCAGTTAGCAGAAAGAAGTGTCTCCTCTTTAAGCTTTTCTCCCGTCAGCTTCTCTGCAGCCTTTGGACCTGCTGGGCTGAAGGTTTTAGTAGAGAAACATGGTTTCCTTGGTGGTCTCCTAAAAGTACTTATATTTTCTACCCTTTAACGGTCTGACTAAGGAAGCTTTTTCTGGTCCCCACCACCGGCCTAAAGAATTCTTGATTGTCATCAATTCTATGGCAAGAGCTCCCTCTACAGGTTATTACCAAATATGACCAGGTTTGTTCATTCCTTGACCAAGTATTTATTGAACACCCTCTGAGTGGTGGCCAGAGACCCAGGCCCTGCTCTCGTGACCTTACATTCTGATGGGAGGAGACAAACAGTAAACAAGTAAACAACCAATAATTACAAATTGTGATAAGTGCTTTGAAGGAAAGAGGTAAACAGAATCAGTCATCTGTTCATATAAACCTTGAAAATGACTAACATTCTTTGAGCCGCTATTCTGTTACAGGGCATATGCCAAGCAAATTCTCTCAGGTAATCCTCACAACAGCCCTAGGAAGAAGGAATTATTACAGACAGAGGCAGCCACCATTCCAAGTGATAGTATGAGGCAGAGCCTATAATTCAAACTAAAGCTTGTCTGGCTCACAGCACACTCCTCCAAGCCTTCATGCTTATAAGGGGGTTGTGGCACCATGCGATATGAGGAGGCTAGGGCCTGGCCAGGGGAGGGCTCATGTGGTTCTGTCCCTTCCTCTCAGAAGGGAACTGGGTAGTGTGGACAGTGTGCCACTATGTAACTTTCTGAGATGGGAATATCCCCATTTTATAGATGAGGGAACTGAGTTTCAGGCAAGCAAGTCTACTAAAATGATTTCTTTGACTTTGGTGGTAGGTTCTGTATTGCTCACAGAGCTGAATGAATTAAAGGTGGTGGAAACACAGAATATTAGAGTCAAAATGTCCTTGGTCCTCTCTGCCTGAAGTTTCCCCTCCCACATTGCAGCAGATCTTCTTACTTATTTGTGTATATATCTTAAATTGGGAGGACTCTTGAGGCTTCTTTTAGATATGACCTTGACACAAGCCCTCGCAATCCAGCGGGTGAGGCTCACTCCCATTTCAGCATACCCTCCTTGCAGCTTGACTGGTAGCAGTTTCAGTAGACCACCTGGAACCAGCCAGAGCTCTACCCTGGGGCTACCCCGTCTTGAAAATGCTAGCGTTTACTATTTTCTTCCTACGCTTTCAGCTATGGGACTTTGGGTGAGTCAGTAAACCTCTCTGAACCTCCACTTCCTTTTCTGTGAGATTATAGATACAATTTGTTGAACACCTAATTTAATCTCATTTAATTAGCAATAGCAGCTCTGAATTAAAGACACACAAACCCTCCTTTTCCAACCCAAGGAAACCTTACATCAGGTAGGTTAAGTGACTTGCCCAAGATTGCACAGTTACTTGGAGTTAGACCCAGAATTCAAATCTTTTGATTCCAAAGTGCATTCATTGTGTTCTGCCATTCCAAGTGGAGTTTGACATGAAAGTTAGAGATAATGTATGTGTAGTGCTAGTACCAAAAAGGGGAGCTATTAGAGGTGAGCTTTCATTCATTCAACAAATATTTATTGAGTACCTATTATGTGCCAGGCCCTGTTTGGGGCACTAGGGCTACAGTAGGAACCAAGACCAGTAGTGTTCCCTGATCTTTTGGATCCCTATCTAGTGGTAGAAGCGATCCTAAACAAATCCATAAACAAATAAGACAATATCAGGTGTTGCTAGATGCTCAGAAAGTGGGATGGAGAGTGACAAGAGAGCCACTTTTGACTCAGTGTGTGAGGGAGAATGATCAGTCTGTACTATCCAGGTCATATAGGGTCATATAGGGCCCTGTAGGCAGAATAAATGGCTTGGTATAGTGGAGAGACATGGGCTGCCATCCTGAATCAACCACACTTTCAAAAAGCTTACAGGGGGAGGGGGGGATTTTTTAGAATAATGAGAAACAACAATAAAAAGCTTACTGGGGGCAGGTGACTTAAACTTTCTGAACTTTAGTTTCCTCATATATAAAATGGGGGTACTATCTCCTCCCCCTTGTAGAATTGCCATGAGGATGAAATAGGATGCTGGAAGCAAAGCATTGTGCATAGCATGCAGTGGCCCTCAGTAAAGGAGAGCTGCCCTCCTTATTACTCAAGGGCCCTGGAAGAGCTGTACTATCCTTAGAATAAACTACCTGGAGCACCATCACAACCGCCACAAACTGACCCTGTGCATTTATTCCTTCTCAAATTACAGGTCACCAAAAACAATGGCATCACCCCTGGGCCAGATTCCAGTGCAAAGGCAGCCCATTCAGAAAGACTCAGCCACCTTGGAAGACTAGAGATATTTCTGTCTGGCATCCCAGGTTGAACCAGCCATGAGCCAGCGTCCCATGACCATGGTCAGCCCTTGGCTCCCTCTTCCTCGTTTCTTATACCTGGAGAACACATAGGCCTAAGGCAGGAGTGGGCCACAGGTAGCCTCTGATTGGTCCAGGGAAATCCACCCCTGCTTTTCCCCTTTGGAATGGGCCCTGTAGGTCAGGACAAGGGAAGGGGGTGAATCCTGAGAGGACTTGGGGCCTTACAGGGTAGTAGTTTGGAGGATGGCCTTTCCCCTTCCCCAGCCTCTTTGGGCCATATGTCATGAGCCCCAGGCCTGTCTTTCCTCTGCAGGTCAGTTTTGAACCAGTGTCTGCAGCTAAAGAACCGAGCTCTCCCTGGGCTCTAGGCAGCTCCAGTGAAACCTGGAGCTTTCACACCAGACCTTGGCCTAGGTGGGAAAGGGTAGATGGAAATGGCTGCTCCATGGAAGCTTGGAGCTAATATGACACTCCCCTTTTCCCCAAAAAGTACAGGCTTTCCTGAGCCTGCGACCAGATGCTGGCCAGTTAGACAGCTTTCTGCCCACTGTGAAGTTTCCTCCTGGAGCAATGATGCAGTCCTGGCAGAGCAGTGCTGTCCTTCCTGCCCCTTCTCCACAGTTCCTAAATGGTGCTAAGGATCTGCAGCAGCTGGGGAAAAACTAGAGCTGGAGGAGGCCTCAGTACCCTATGGGATCATGGAAAGCTCCAAGGGGGGTCTTTCCCCTCCTCTGTCAGAGAGGTGCTCTGACCCACGGGCATGTGGGCAAGTCCCCACATGCAAATTCCTCTGATGGTTCTGTGCCATTAAAGGCAAACCACCTCATGCCAGCCAGCTCTGAGGTTCATTGCTGCTCCTTGGCTCTCTAGCCCTCTCCTTCTCCTTATGCAGCAGACCACCTGCCCAGGTTGCTTTGGTGCTAGCCCTCTCTCATCATCCACCAGGAGATTCCTGGGTACCAGGGAACAGGATACGACCCCCAGGGAAAGAAAAGAGAGCTGGTACAGGTTTCTGCAATGAGGAAAAAGATGTTTCCCAGGCCCCAAGCTTCGATTTCTCCAACTCTGCTGTGTTTTATAGCCGAGGACTTCACTGGGAGTGGATTTTTCCTTGTAGCTTTCAAGCAGGAATTCCAAGGAGTGTCACCATCATAGGCCCCTCTTCATTGAGTCAGAGAAGCCCCTAGCTGCTCTCACGGCCTTGTCCCCCGATTGCCTGTCCCTTTGCCTGTGAAACGCCTTTATGTATTGTGTATGGGTGTGTGTGCGTGTGCATATGCTCTGTCTCTTGGTCACTGAAGCATCTAAATAAAGAATTTCTCCCATGAGCCAGACTGCAACTTAACAGACCTGGGATTTGGTGCCAGATTGCCGTTGGATCTAATATGTGTGTCTTGACCGCTTACCCTCACCCCTCTCAGACTCCCAGGGCTCTAAATACTAATCTTAAGAGGTGGGACAGAGATAAACATCTAAATTGCTTGGCAACCTTGTTGAAGCCTTCCCAGGTGCCCTAAACTTAATACCACCTCATCCACTCATCTACTTCCCCCTGTCACTGAGGGCTTTATGGAGGTCTTTAGGGGGGTTAAGCTGAGAATCTACTTTGTTTGAGAGGATCATTCTGGCTGTTCGGTGGAGAAGAGATGCAGGGGAGCAGGACAGGAGACAGACGGGGAAGCCAAAATGAGGCTGTGTCCAATATGGCTCTCTCCAGGCTAATGCCTTCAGGGCTGAGACCTAGCCTCTTTCATCTCTACTTCTCTAATGTGGAGTGGTGTGTCATGAAGTGTTTGTTGAATGAATGAATGTATGAATGAATGAGGGTGTATAAGGAAAGATGGCCTTTCCCAGCACAGCTCTTACTAGCACTAGGTTTGTTCCATCAACTTATAGGCCTAGAGATTCTTGCAGGAAGCTTTTCTATGACCCAGAAATGAGCTATGGAAGGAGTGAGTGTGATGGCCTCAGGAGCCCTTTGTCCAATGTTTGTCTCAGACAGCCAGATCTGAGGAGGGTACCCAAGCGGCCTCAGCCCCCATTCTTCACTCAGCAAACTGTTCTTGGCACCTACTGGTGACAAGCTGGGAAGGGCCCTATGCAGCCCCCATGGTGGGTTCTCAGCTCTCAGCATTCAAAGCCCAGGACTGTCCCAGCAGTTTCCCTGGAGTCCTTCTTACCTTATCTGGGGTGTCAGAATCAGCCTCATCTATCAGGCAAGGAAATGAAGGGCAGAAGGGTGGGTGGGCTGTCAGATCATGAGCCCTTGCCCCATAAGACCTCTTAGTCTGGATTCAGGAGTCTCTGCTAGCCGTGTGCCCAGCCCTGTTGGCAAGAGGGCACAGGGATGAACATTTTCTTGCCATTGGGGAGCTCACACACTATAAAGATCATTATGGCGATGGTCAGAGGATCATAAAGGGTGCAATGAGAATACCCAGATGCGGGCGCTAACCCACCTAAGGGTATGAAAAAGCTGGAGAAGTCGGGAAACTTGCATTTGATCTGCAGAACAGCCTTTTGAGCTAGGTAATGATACTCCATTTTATAGAAAAGACTCAAAGAGGTATAGTATCTTGCCCAAGGTCCTGCCACTAAGAAGCAACAAAATGGAGAGTGGAATCCAGTTCTCTAGATTGCTAGTCTGGAACCCTTTTCAAACAAGGACGAGAATCCTTCCCACAGGACCCCTGGGCCTGTGCCACCCCCCTTGTGGCAGGGCTATGGTCTCACAGAGCAAGCAACCATAAAATAGACTGGACAAGGCTCAGTGGTTATTTTATATTCCAAGCCCCCGCATACTTCTCATAATTTTACCCAAGATTTCCAGTGTATTAGACTCTCGTTATTACTGTAATAAATCAAAATGATTAGCTAGAAAGGAAAATTTATTGACTCACCAAATGAAAAATTTCAGTACAGGGAGGGCTAGATCCAGGTTCTGACACACTGTCTTCAGGAAGAATTTAATCTCACTCTGCTTTCCTCTATGTGGCCTCTTTCTCAGGCGGACTCTCCAGAAGGTAGCAAGATGGCCAGTGGCAGCTCCAGGCTTGTATCCTGATAGATAGGCAACTACAGTACAGAAAAAACATCTTTTCTTACTAGTTCCAAGAAAAAATTCTGGATTGATTTATTAGCCAACTTGGCCCTGTTCCGATTCCTAAACCAGTCACTGCGACTAGGGCAAATGGTGCCCTGATTTGGGGCCTGGGAAAGAATGAGCTCCACCTAAAAAACATTGACTGGAAGAGAAAAGAAGAAAGTGTGGGGCTCCTTCCAGACTAAGGGAGAAGAGTGGATGGGGGTGGGCAAAACTAACTGCTTTAAGCCATACCCAGAAATTGTCTTTATTTGAAATACCACTTTTTCCCTAACTTTCTGAGCTACATTTCATAATGTGCTCTAATTTTTTAAATACAATTTGATAATGCTTACATATGTGTGCACATCTGGGCAGTCACCCTCCAGACCAAGATACAGAACACTGCCAGCTCCCCCCAAGTTTCCCTTGTTCCCCTTCCTAGTTATTATCTCCCAGAAGTAAACACTGTATTGACCTCTATCACCATAGACTAGTTTTGCTTGCTCTTGAATTTTATAAAAATGGAATCACATCCTCTTTTGCTTAATATTATATCTGTGAGATTCATCCATGTTTTTATGTGTGTCAGAAGTTCATTTTTTTCATGCTGTGTAGTAGTAGTCCATTATATGAATACACCACAGTTTAGCCATTCTGTTGATGGACGATTGGGTTATTTCCATTTTAAACTATTATAAATAAAGCTCTTATGAAAAATTTTGTATGTGTCATTTGGTGTACATGCGCACACATAAACCCAGGAATAGAATTGCTGCAGGATAGGATAGGTGTGTGTTTAGCTTGTCTAGATACTACCATATGGTTTATCCACTGTGGTTCTACCAACTTAACAACTTGATAGCACTTGGTATTGTCAGTCTTTCTAATATTGGACATTGTTGTGGCACGTGGGAATTTGAACCCAAGAGTTCATATTGACTTCACATCAGGGCCCCTCTTACTCTGAGCATCCCTGGGATCAGATTTGAATTTCCCTAGCCTGGAATGGTCTCTCATGTCAGTGCCCAGGACCCACAATACCCAATCCAACAGGCAAACATCAGAGGGAGCTCATGCCTGTGACTCTGGTGGCTAAGAAAGGTCTCATGGAGGGAGAGGTGTCAGCCCTGAAGAGGCGGTCTAGTGTAGCAGCAAAAACTCAGGCTGGAGTCAGGCAGCTGGGGTTCAGGGGTTCAGATCATAGCTCTTCAGGGCTGTGTGATCTTGGCGAACTGCCCTGTACCTACTCCTGAAACATTAGTATCTACCTTAGAGGGTTGTTTGGGGAATTAAAAGAATAGATGCTTATGAAACAATTACAGTACCTGACATGTGATAGATACTATGTAAATGAGGACTATGTAAATGTTCCTTATATTATTGGCCTGAAGTAAGCCCTGGGTCTCCCTGGGGATGTGAGGCCAGAAGGAGATGGCATCTGGCACAGAGTCCTGTATTAAGTGTCAATGATTTATGAAATGCCAGAAACCTAATTCAATCTGATTGGGGGGTGGGGGGGACATGCTGGCCAGAGGTGGCTCTTCCCTGGGCTCCAGCCAGAAGTCACCTTTCACTGCTAAGGACCCTCAGCTTAGCCCAGGCATCTCAGGGGCACCTCAGGTTCTGCAGCCAATGACATCTGAGGAGAAGACAATGGAATCATGCATGTAAAGCTCTTAACCCAGAGCTGGATGAAAAGCAAGTTGGGATGTAATAACCACTCAGTGCAGACCCGCAGCTATGTATGTGGCCATATAGCAGCCATGAAGCATGTCATGGAGGACACTGGTCTGGGACTCAGTGTCCCTGGGTGTTGGTCTGAGCCCTGCCACCAACTTCATGTGACCTGAAGCCTTGCTATCTTCTGTCAGGTTGAAGTTGTAAGAAGTCACAG